GTTCAATGCTGAGATTCAAATTGGCCAAAGCACATCGTCACTTGAGGAACGGGCAGGCCACCGCCTCATCCTACGACAACACTGGAGAACCAGATGGCCGAACAATTATCACGCCCGGGCCCACCGCCCGTGATGAAAGTTGAACAGGTCAGAGCCCGCATGCCGTCCAACAAACTACCCACGCGCACGGAGGCAATTAACATTAATTGTCGCTGTGTGTTTGTAGTAATGACTGTATCCTATAAATACTGCAAACTTCTGTGCATGCATTCACCTGTTTCTGCTACTCATGTCTCTGATGATGAATCCGCGACGGATGTCAAAACGTCAGGCGCGCCGTTTCTGCTACTGTTCATGTCTCTGATGATGAATTCGCGACGGATGTCGAAACGTCAGGCGAATGAACGTGTTGTCCCAGCGATCGAGTATTCTTCTTCTCAATTGCTTCCTGGGACACGCATGTTCGCATGTATTGACTTTCACTACTGTGGTCGACCTCGACGCCAGGTGGCGATCGCACACCACGCCCATCCCCTAGTGACAGTCGTTCACGCCGTGCAAATAACAGTAATTAGCACTCCAGGTACCTGACCACTGATGAATGCCCACAACCTAACGCAATTTCCTCCTCTTCTTCCCCCCTGCCCCTCCTGTACACGCCGATCTCGCCATGCGAATGGCGTGAGAGCGATGAGCTGTAATCAAAGTATACTTATTAGCCCTGTCCAACTGCACAAATTTCATTATCTATGAAAATGTACTGCCCTGATGAAGAGTTGCTGAAAATAAATGTTTGTCCAGTCGACTTATCAAAGAAGACGGTATAGTTAATCTAGAGTACCCATTTCCGTAAAATAACATTACAGTAAGCTTTACGCGGAAGAAAAAATTTTAATATTACTTTTTTTTCAGGATCGAGACGGCGAAGTATTGTAGGATGTAGGAGTGTAGTGACAACGGCGAGGACGGCAGGTATCTTATGCTTTTAGCAGCATTTCAGCCCGAATAAATGGCCTTTCTGTTTGCTTTTACAGTAAAACCTGTCCACATTTGTAAATAGTCTCTCATTGCTAGGACGGCCAACCCAAAACCGTCTAGCGCGCAGCAAGTACTTCCTCCTCTTAATTGATAGTCACTGGTGTTTTCATCGACACCCCTTGGCACCAAGGTGGTTGGAGGTGGATTAAACAGTTATGTCCGCCGGTATAACCATTGCATAGTTCGGATTTTTTTGGTGATGCTTTGCTGAACTGCTTGAGACCAGACATTTTTAATTCGAGATTTTATAAATTATTACAAAAGCTTCCTCGGAGGGTGTCACTCAAATTATGCGCTCAATAAATTTAACTTTTTCGCGGCTAACTGTGGAAGCCATTATTGGTGGATTTTTGACCAGTGCTTTTACAAGAACAAAGGCACAGGTTCGCATTGAGTTTCAGGAGGTTGCGAGTTATTGGCGAGGACAATTGTCCCATGAATATGGTGCTTTTGAAACCAGAACAAAAATAGCGTGGGTGAAAACAGCACAGAGTAACATCATGCCAGCCTATTAAACACATCAGTGATGTTAATTTATACATTAATACAAAGTGGAGTGTTCAGTCAAGAATACAAACCTCAACAAGAAATTGGCAGGAGGAAAAATGCTGCAGATAAAAGTAAGTTTATTTTATATCCCGTTGGAGAATTATTGTAGAAATAAGTGTGACGCGATAAGTACGAAGAAGGTAAGCGTTTCTTACCTATCAAAATATTTCAGATCAGATCCTATGATAAGAAATTTTTCTAAAACCGGAGGAAGCCCTTTCTTTGAGTATAAAATTTAAATGCGTAGTAATTTGTTACCAAACAAGTTCAAGAAATAATGTTTTCGTCCATATTTTCGATAAAAGATATTTGAATTTAGAAAATGTAGTCAAAATCAATGATAAAAATGCATACTACTTAAGTAGCCATATTTTGCAGCACATGCTTTCTGTTAGCGGTCAGAAGG